GAAGTTTCCAAGTTCAGCCTCTGTAGTTTGAGCAGCATTGTTTGTGCAACACGTAGTAGAACGTTGTCTTGCAAGGACTGACCTGTCTCTACTGACCAATCTCAGCTGCTTAATTGCAAGCATCCTCACTATTTGAAATTGTCCAATTGGTTGCAGTAGACATCTGCTATAATTAACTGATTAGCTTTCATGAAGCTGTAGTGAATAATACCAGCACTAGACCACCAAACAGACACCTTAGCTTTTTCTGATGAATATTCAGTTTTGGACTGTGTTTTGGCACTTCATCTTTATCCAACCATTGTGCAGAAGGCTTGTGATTGTCAAAAAGAATCCATTTTCATCACACATAACATTATGGTATAAAAATGGTTCACTTTAAAAAAAAAAATGGTTCACTTTTATGTTGTGACAGCAAAGAAAGGCAAGCTTCAAGAGGATTTCTCTTGTGATACTTGTTTAATTCATGTGGAAAGCATCTATCCAGCTTATTTACCTTGCCCACTTGTTTCAAATGGCCCAATATTGTTGGAATAGTAACGTCAAACCTTGCTGTTAATTCACACGTAGGTTAAGGTGAATTCACTTCCACTACAGCTTTCAGCTCATCATTATCCACCTTGGTCTCAGGTCGCCCACATGGCTCATTTTCAAGATTAAAATCACCAGAACATAACTTCTTAAACCATTCACATACTGTGCATTCATTAGCCACTTCCTTCCCAAACACTTGTTGGTATTTCCAGCAGTCTGCATTGCATTGGTTCCACAATGGAACTCATATTCAAAAATAACGTGTTATTTTTTTTACTTATTCATGGTGTCACAAAAATAGCTCTAAACAAAAAAACATTTGAAAAATAATCACAAGCCAAATCATGCATCTGAAAGACTGAGGATGTACCTTCACAGTTAAAATAAAACAAGACTTGTCAAAGTGAAATGTCACAGATATCGACTGTCAAATTTAGCACTTAAGGAAATAGGACATTTCATACTTAATAAAACCATCATTAAGTCGAAGAGTACCTGTACTTTTGTGGCAAGCTGCTGAGAGTCCCAGCTGATTACAGCAGCTGAGCTTCAATCACAGGCAACCAACTGATTCAAATAAGGTAAATGGTGAGCGGTAAGCAATTAAACTGTATATCTCACTTCTATCTCTATACCTCACTTGTTTTCTATTTACTAATATAAATACTGCTTGACCACATTGTTGGCTGGAGTTCTTAGATGTGTTCTGGTTCTGAGAGCTGCTTGATTGATGAACTTTGGGTTTTTTTTTTTTTTTGGTTGGTTGGTTGGTTGGTTTTGTTCAGTTAAATGCTGCTAAATTTAACTTGTATGAAGTTTTTTCCTTTGAACATAATGAAGATAGAACAAGACAGACAAGATGTCCACTCTCACAGAGTTCACAGTAAATCACAGAAAGCAACCCAACGCCTACAGCAGAACTAATAAATTATATGCTGCAAAGGAGACATAAAAGGTACTCAAAGGGTATATATAACATAGACCATGAACTGACCTGCTGTGGAAGTGGGAAGCCAATGAATTGAGAGACTTTTGAGGCATTCCAAACATAACATACACAAAGGCTTTATAGTGGAATAAACATATGGAGGAATAAACATGGATAAATGACCCAGGCCAAGTGGCTAAAGAAAACAAACAGGAACACGGTGGAAGAGGTAAAAGCAAACAGAGGTAGAATCTATGGAATCTACAGGTTATGTTAAGGATTGTAGTTTTTATAATATTTGGGATTTTAAATGGGAAAGTGATACAATCATATTTTAAGAGGGCCTTGGACCAAACCCAGATAAGAGGCTAGCAACAAAGACTAAAAATGGTCAGAGAAGTAGAAGAGCAACTTGTAGAAAGGTCACAGAAGCAAAAAGAGGAGAGAATTTCAAGAGCTGCCAACAAGGTCCAACATTACAAAGAAGTCAAATAAAAAGAATGAAGAACCAAACGCACTTAACGAGTGCCTACTGGATTTTCAGACACTCTACAGTAGGCCCTAGGTATCCACTGGGGATTGATTCCAGGACTCCCCTCAGATACCAAAATCCACAGGTATTCAAGTACCTTATATCAAATGACATAGTATTTGCATATAACCTATGCATATCCTCTCATATACTTTAAATCATCTCTAGATTACTTATAATACTTAATACAATGTAAATGCTATGTAAATAGCTATTACATTGTATTTTTAATTTGTATTATTTTGTTGTATTGTTATTTATTACTTTTCAAATATTTTTGATCCATGGATGCAGAACTTGCGGGTACGAAAGGCATGAATATTGTCAGCACAATCTGAGATGTTATTATTCCCATTTTACATATGCACTGTACTAAATAAGGTCTACAGAGCTTATGATACTTATTCTAGGTCACATTACTAATAGGTGGCAGAGCCAGAATCTAAATTCAGATTTTCCCAACTCGAAAACTCACGCTGGTAATTAGAAGATTACTGCCAATGTAAGTTTCACTGAGATGCAGCATCATCATTCTAGACCAGCACTACCAAAAAGAAATTTCTGCAATGATGAAAATGTTCTTTATCTGTTAACACAGTAACCACTAGCCACATGTAGCTAATGAGCACTTGTAATGTAGATATTATGGATGAACGGAATCTATACTTTTATTTAATTTTAATTAACTTTAATTAAAATTTAAACAGCCACACGTAGCTGGTGTCTACTGAATTAGACATCACAGAATTGTAGCGGACTGAAAAACAAGAAAATGAGCAAACAGAAAACAGTCAAGAAGTAAGAAGGTAAAGGTAGCATGACCACCAGCCAGGAAGACAGAGCTGACATATTCCTGGGTTCATAAGTTATCTCTTTGCTTGAGAAAGATTATGTTAGTATAATTCACAACATTCTATTTGTTAGGAACATAGTTGTGCCATGATCATACACAAAATCACAGGTTTCTCTTAATCCATTATCACTTGTTTTTCCTGAGATTTCAATTTTTACTAAAGACTGCCTTATAAGCAAATAACACTAGAGGATGCCAACTTATTGCATGCCTAAACACGAGTTTGCTTGTGGCATTACACTCAGGAGGATATGAAAGAAAACCATCCCTGAAACTAGACAGATTAAGAATAAATAAAAATGCTAACAGGTCTAATAAGGACCAATGTTAAAATTTTGATCCTTTTTGTAGGCTGCTATATTCCATCTATCATACCTAGGTTTTAAAATGCACACTTAATTCTAACACAAATAAAAATAAATACTCTGTATTGTTTACAAGAGATTTGGCCAAAACATAGTAAATTTAATAACAGTGCCAGAAAAACAAGTCAATGTGACATCTCATCTACACTACAGACATGTTTTTGGGAATACTGATAGGGCTGTCAATGTGGCCCTCCTTATGATACTAAGAAAGGACCAGTTTAAAAAATAAATCAAAACTCTCTAAGGAAAGAGATTACAGGAGTCTTTGACTTATTGAATTATTAGTGGTAAATTTTAAAGGATTTTCTATTGAAATCTTCAAATGTATTAAATATTGTTAAAGTATAAGACTGTAAAAAAATTATCAAATTTCAGTTACCAAAATTGCATTCTTGTACCACACCTATACATTAGCCATAATTATACTGTCAACTCATAAACATGAAGGAAATGATGGAAGTCTAAGAAGAAAATTCAGAAAGGGAAGAATGGATGAGGGCTACTGGAGAAAAGGCTTATTGTGCAAAGGTAAAAATAAGGAAGAAATTTAATCCAGCAAGCTTGAGGTAAAATAGAGGCTTTATCCAAAACACTTTGGAGATAGTTTTCTCTTTTAAGAATTTGTTATCCATGTACTGTGGTTAATGCTTAATAAGATGTTAAGTGAAAATAAGTACAAAAAGAGTCCTAACGTTATTTTTCCTAAGAGTAAGTTCGTAAGAACACTGTCATATAGTTCATATCCTTGTTAAAGTACCAGCCTCTATCATTAGAAAATAGTTACCCGATTAGAATTATGATTTGTTTTTGACTCAATGTTTACATTTAAAATACAGCTGAAAACCCTGGAATAAAACTGATTGTAATGAGTAAACTGGAGCATGATATTATTAGAACCCCTTTGTAATCTTTTTAATAAAAACTGAATTATAAAAAATAATCAATATGTTGGCAAAGGCAAAAAAGGAGAGAAAACCTCACACAAAAAAACTCTCTCTTAGAAGAATATATAAGAAACTTAATAAGGAAGGAGGGGTTGTCAGGAGACTCTTACTTTCACTTTATACTTTTCAATATCATTTGAATTTTTAAGTAAATGTATAGAACTTTTCAAAAATATTAAGAATACTGCTCTACAACTACATGTTGCCCCTACCCAAACTCAGAATATGGTTCCTTTTAGACCTATGTAACTTGATCAAAAGAACAAATAAATCTGTATTAAGCTTTTTTAGTGTTAGAACCCATTTCCTAAATTCATTTCCTATGTCACTAATTCACTGTTGCCCTTTCCTAGGTCCTACCTACTATTTAGTAATATTTACTTGTTACCTTGTTAACAGCCTATCAAATTCCCTGAAATTGGAACAGAATCCTCTTCCACAGCCCTCACCCTCAAATCCACCCCATTTGCCTCAGCCTTGATCTCAACCCTAGCAAATGATCTTTCCTTAAGCTATCCTGAGATACTAAATGACTTAGACCACTAGGTATAAACTCCATCATTAAATCACATCTGTTGCCATGGCCTACTCTCCGGTGATATTTTTTTCTCTTTTGATGTCCTTCCTTTCCTTTTATCCTCTTCTGTCTACCTCTTCTAGGGCTTCATTCATTAATCATTCTCTTTGTTACAGCTCCCTCTCCTGGCTTTTCTTTACGAACTCTTAAGAATACCCACATCTTCCCCATCCCCAAAAGAACTTACTCCAACTATAAACCATGGAAGTTAAATATCCTTTGCTCTTTCTTTCATAAATGTCACAAAAAGGAATTGATACTTACTGCCTCCAATGCCTTATCAACATCTATGCCTTCGTTCCACTTATTCATTCACATATTCCTTCTTCAAACAGTACTTAATATCTATTACTTCCCAAGTATCTGGAATATAACAATGAAGACAAGGTCTCTGCATTCACAGAGTTTACATTCCCTTGAAATCTTACTTTTGTCACTTAGGACATTACTGAAGTTAGTCTTAGAGATTATCAATATTCTTCAAATGGCCAATTTCATCAGTGTCTTCTTCATCATCACCCTTATAATCCTCCCTTTAGCTATTATCTTGACTCAAATATTCTAACTCCACTTCTTTCACACAAGTACATATTGTCAAGTTTGTTAAACAGAAACTTATAGTGGAGTTCTCAAGCTCATCAAACTCACTGCCTCAAACCAAACTTGCCTTCTTTTCACACTTCTTTTAACCAGCAACTCAGTCCTACTTTCCTGCTTTTATTAATTATGTAGAGCTCTCTTTATATCCAATCACCAGCATGGGTCATCCTTTATGATTCTGTTTCCTCAGAAAGTTTTTAACTCTATTCAATTCCATATTTAAAATGTCTCTGTATCTATTTGCTTTCAAATTCTTATAACTTCTTATCTGTAATACCACAAAGCAGTACTCCTACCTACAATTTCCACCCCTTCCAAATCACCCAGCATCTCATTTCCAGATTAATCAATGGTTTCCCAATGGGACCAAAATGAAGTCAAGCAGTTAAGGTCATTTACAACTTAACATGACTTCCTTTCCAGCCTAAACTCTTATGCAGCCTACATTAATAGTTTCCATCTTTATCTCCTTCCCAGTCTTGATAAAGGATGAGAACAATCCCTCCTCTTGGCTAAGGAGAGTCATATCCCTTCCCACCTCCTTGGGGACATCAAACTGTCAATAATCCCATCTTTTCCCTTTGAAAAGATTCAAAAGACAACCTTCTCCCTCTTTCCTGACTCATTGTTTTGACCCCAATATAAATCCTTCCTCAAATTTAAATTTTCTGGCTTCTATTCTCTCTCCTATTCAAGGCTTTAAAGAGCAGTCTAAACTCAATGTTTGGCCATATTTATTACTCAGCTCACTACATCCTGGCTTTCTTTGTCACCATTAAAACAAACTACTATTGCCCAAGTCACTGAAACTTTCCTGATCCCTCCAAAAGACTTTTTTAAGTTCTCTTTCCTGATCTCTGCAATATCTCTTCACAGCTGACTCTTTCCTCCTTAAAATTCCCTTTAATCTGACATCACAGTGCTAATTTTCCAGTTATCTCTCTAGCTACTCATTCTCAGAGGAACTACACAGGCTCCTCATCCTCTCTACCTGCCTCTTATATGCAGTATTCTTTAGAATCCACCCTCTTCACTTCTCATTTTATATTCTGTCTATATAGGACTTCATCCAGTTTCACAGCTTCAACCACTATCTAATACAAATACAACACTCAGATCTTTAATCCAAGCCCAGATCTCTCTTCTGAGCTCCTGATATAGGCAACCAATTACCTGTTGGCCATAACTATCCAGAGATGACCTATGACTACTTTAAATTCAACATGTCCAAAATAGAAATCCTCATCATTCCCCCAAATCTCCTTCTCCTACATCTCCCTAGGACAATGTGTATTTTTAACAAGATCCTAGATGATGCTGATGTTGGAAGTCCAGGATCCACATTTTGAGAATCACTGCTCAAACATAAGTGCCTCTTCCTACCTCCAAGCTATCAAGTTCCTTCTGCTATCTCCTATGCCATGATTATCTATGCAGCAGGCATTGTTAATACTTCACAGCACTCTAGTCTATTAAACTTGGAATCTTGCAAGACAGCATTCCAAACATTAATTACTAAATGATAACAGAAGACTAGAGATGAAACAATGGTCATCCCAGCAAAGTAGAAGTTTTCTTGAGGACGGGGATAGTATTTATGTATCCCCAGAACCTAACCTTACCCAAGGTACTCAAATATTTGCTGAATGCACAGCACTATCATCTATCCAGTCACCAAAGCCAGAAACCAAAGCAGGATTTACTACTCCTCTTCTCCCCCATAATCCAATAGTCACCAAGTCCTTTCTTCTACCTCCTAACTGTATCTCATCTCCAGTCCTTCCTATCCATCAACACTGTGACAGTATTCTTTCATGTCCTTATTTCTAACATGAATTATTATAATTATTTCTTAATGGCTCCCCATGTCTAGATTCATCTATTCTATTATCCACATAGCCATCAGATCAATCTCTTTAAAAAGTGCATGAGACAATGTCATTCTACTGCTTAAAAACAATAGCTTCCCACTGCTTTTAGGGGAAAAAAAAATAACTCCTTCATGATATGCAAGCCCCTCTATGATCTATCTTAATCTACTTGACATTCTCTCCCTTCCACCCTACCTGCTTCTCTCCAGCCATGCTAAACTAATATTTTGGTTCCCTGAATGGCCTATACAGCTAACGCCTCTATGACTTTGAACATAAGAACTCTATCTGGAGTGCCCTTTCCCACTGGCTAAATATTCATCCTTTTAAGACTCAGCTCAGACCCCATCTCTTCCAGGAAGCTTTCTAAGTGGCATTCATCCCCAGTTTGGACTGAGTCTCTTCGCTGCCAAGTACTCTTACAGCACCCCATGTTTAGTCTGTTAAGAGCACACATCACACTACATAATCATTGTCTTGTTTATCCCACTTGATTAAGTTCCTTGCAGATAACAATCATGTCTTATGTTTGTATAGTTAATGCTAGGTATATTAACAGACACTAGACTAAAATTTAAATAAATACATTCCTTGCTATTCTCTAAACAGTGGCTCTCAAAACTTAGCATACATCACAATCACCTGGAAGACCTATAAAACCTGGACTGCTTGGCTCATCTCCAGAGTTTGAGAGTCAGTTGTTCCAGGGTGGAGCCTGACAAGTTTCCAGATGCTGCTGGTCCAGGAACCACATTTTGAGAATCAGTGCTCCAAATATATATTGTCTCTTCTTACCTGCAGGATTTAAACTGTCTTCCAGATGCTTCCAACTCTGCCTACTTCAATTCTATGAATCTTCTTAGATCCATCTCAAGTGTCACCTCCTTCATAAAACTTTCCCTAAACCTAGATGGAAATGATCTTGCTCTTTTCTCAACTGCTACCAGGCTTTGTGTGTATTACTCACAGGATATTCATCATATGCTAACTTATTTCAGTTACTGGCATTTTTCTTATATTCTCTACTTAAATAATGGCAGGAAACCTGTCTTAATCATTTTAATATCATCCTTAACAGAGAGCATGGTAATCAGTGAATAGCAGATAAAATATACAAGTATTTATTGATATGAATGAATCCCTATTGCTTGCCCCAGACTCTGGGGTCCATGGTCTGTCTGACTTGCTCAATCCCCCTTGCCCAAGCTGACTTCCTCATACTGCCTCACTTCCTATGACATGTCTAATCCTTCCATACTTGCCTGTCCCTCTTGTTGCTGACTGGCCCTTAGTCAGCTTCTTTACCTTGTACCCTGAGCTATATTAATTTTCTCAGCCACTATGGAACATAACAAGTGGAGAAATTTTCCCTTCACAACAGATGTGAATTTTAATTCTGCTGGCCATAAGACAGGTTCCCCACTTTTCTCTTTAAAAAAAAAAAAAAGACTTCTTTGTCACAGAATCTGAACTAGAATATGTTACGTACAATTCTAAGTACAGTTGTCACAGACAGTATTAAACTTAAGTTTTAGTTACAGATCGTGGAGATGAAGACATAAAAAGGTCCTTCATAAAATTTAAGGTTGCCTTGAGAAACAAAACCTAAAACAGGTAATTACATTTACACTATATTCATATAAGCATCCAAAACAAAATCCGTATTATCTATTCTAACAAAAACAGATATAAAAAAACCTTGTTCAAAGAAAATTCCCAGGAGCTCCGTACTCACAGATTTTTGTATACATATACACAATCTTCACTTCCCCTCAATACTAAACAGTTTAAAAATCAAACTAGGTGAACGGAGAGAAAGACTTTAACTCTCAGGGGAAAAAAAAAAGTAAGCTACTTTTAAGGCAGCAACTAAAATTAATACCTGTCAGAAAAGATTCTTGAGAGATTCAATTAAATCTTATATGCCTTTTTATTTTCTCTATACTTGAATTAACCAGTGATATTTCATAAATTAACACTGTAACATCTGTTGACAAAAATGTAGACATGTTTATGATAATTAATAACAGAGATTTACAAAGGGTGTTAGAATTTTTGGAACTGTAAGTCCAATTAACTGGGAAAATTAACCAGACTACTGCAAAGCCTGATTTGAGTTAATCAATACCTCATATGGCAAAGTTGAGTTATAGGTACTTGATACTTTGAAACCAGTGCTATATTAAACAGACCAAAATAACCCTAAAGTTGAAAAGCCACTGTCACTATGAATTATGTAAGTCCTAAAATGGTAATTAGGAGAATGAAAAAGAGAAGAGCCAAAGGTGAATTAGAAAATAAATACTGAAAAGGAAGCTGGAACGAAGAGAAAAACAATGACCTGGCAGAAAATGATACCATATGGTACATCTGAAAATATTTTAAAAGATAAGGAAATATTGAGTAACAGGAAGATAAATAAGATCTAAAGGATGATTTCCCAAATTCAGTCTGTTTTTTTAAAGGGGGGTGCACCACAAGGAGGGTAAAAACTGCTTGGAAATCAGATCACTTTTTCCTCAAAATGCATAGCTTATAAATATAAGTAAAAATATTCTCTACAATGAACAAAGATTTTCAAGATCTTGACCTTCAAGCAATATGCATAAAGAAGTTCTATTAAAGCACTAAAGTGCAATTCTTAACTTCAAAATAATATGCCAGTAAAAAGACTGAACTACCAATGGCTCTGATGTTCCTAAATTGTTTTCTGTACTAGTCTTGAAAAGCGTTAAGTTTTGTGACTTTGGGGACCAAATTGTCTTCTGAGCTCTCTCTCAAGTTGGCAAGGAAAAACGTCTTCTACACATTAAAATCACAAATCATTTATTAAGTCTGCTCTTAATCTGGGTTTTAAGTACACCAAAAAGCACACTTATTCATTTGCCCTATATTTTAAATAAAGACTGACTTGAATATTCTAATTTCACTCTCCTCCCTCACAATCACCACCAAATTGATTTCAAATGGCAATCAAAAGAATTTCTCTCTTCACTATTCCAACACATATTTTGAAATACTTAAATTCTACATGCAAGGTGAATTATCACACAATTAAAAGGTGCAAGAAATTACCCAACGTTAAACAACCAGTCTAAATATCTTCTGACAACTGTTCAAAGACTTTTTAAAGAAAGCCTAACAACCGAATCACATGTTGGAATATCTGATATATACAGAATGACACTTCGAACTTTCCCCACTATGTATACAATTCTGGATTACAAAGAGGAAAAACTACAAGGGCTACCGGGAGCGAGAGAACCGGTAAGGTAACAGGCTAAAAGGGCGTCGTTGATTTCTTGGCTACAGCGACACAGGCGGGAGACACACCCCTAGCGTCGGTCTGAAACACTACAGCACAGAATTCTACCTAGGGATTAATGTGAGGGTAAGGAAAGACAAATTTAAATCGCCATGATTCAAAAACAACCACCCCAAGAGAGACAGACACGAAGGCAACAAAGAAAATGAAAAACCCTTAGTAGTCAGGAAACATTAAAAAACAAGTATGGCCAATCTCCCAGAACCAAGCCAGCCTATGTTTTAATGAATATACACCTTGGACCTTTCTGGTTCGCCGGTGCAGAGAGAAAAGCAGCAGTGAAAGAAACCCCGTAAGACTGCAAACAGCAGCGAAATGAAAGCTAACGGGAGAGGGGGGAAGTAGGGGTAGGATTCCTGCCAGGGCTCACTGCTTGAAAGCCTGGATTGAGTGGGAGAAAGAGCAGCTCTGCAGAGAAAGTGGGTCTTATATAAAGCGCCACTGGCCGCATATTATTATTTTCACAGGATCTCAGAATATCCTCGAACTTGAAAAAGAGAGTGAGTCAGGGGTGCACAGAGGTTCCACGTGGAGAAGGGGCTGGAGAGAAGTGAAGAGGGGCGACAAGGGGACAGTGCCAGGCTGGCGGGGGAGGGGGCCGACAGGGGGTCGAGGCACGGCGGGATCGCGGCGGCCGTGACTGGGGGCGCCCCGCAGGGGCTCCGCCGCCGCAGCGCCGGGCGAGCCGCCGTCCTGTCAAGCAGCCGGCCCACCGCCCCCGCCGGCCGCCAACGCACCGGGCCGCTGCGGGCTCGCCCGCACCCGCCGCGGCACCGGCCCGGCCCGGCCCGCATCTCTCGAATTTTCACCGGAGGGAGCGGGCCGGGGGCTTCGGGACTCGCCCCCGCACCCGACCCCGTCTGCGGCGGGCGGGGGAGGGAGAGATGGTGCACTGGGGAAGCCAGGGTCTCACCATTTTGCTCGGCGGGTCGGAGGCTCGCTTGCGTGAAGAAGTGTCGGCGCTCAGACGGGCTCCAGCAGGAAGCGGCGGCGGCGGCGGCCCAGCTGCGGCCCTCGGGTCGCCCGCGGGGAGGGGGCGCGGGGTGGGGGAGGGGAGGCGGCGCCGCGGGGCCCGCGCCGGCCGGGTGACTGGGCACGCGAGGGAGCGGGCAGAGCCAGGGGAAAGAAATTAAGGTCGAGATTCGGAGACCGCGAGCGCGGGAGGAGAGACGACGAGGAGGAGGAGAGGCAGAAAGGAGGGGGAGAGGGGCGAAGACGGCCAGGCGGCTCGGGGGCTGCAGCCTCGCGCTCGCGCCGGAGCCGTGACGGACTCACTGCAGTGGCTCGCGCTGACCCGCAACCTCAAGGCACGAAAAAGGGGGAGGGCGGGA